CCCTACTGAATGTCACAATAAACCTTTTCTGACTGTCTATCTGTATTTTGTGTTTTCCAGGCCAGGAGGAGGATGGGCGGAAGGTTTTGGTCCTCAGTTACCCCCAGTATTGCCGGTATCGTTCAGTTTTGGCGCGACTCAGAGAGCAGCCGTCGTCCCTTTTCATAGATCACACGGTGCTGGCGCTGGGCGGCATCGCTGCGTTGAGTGGAAGCACGAAGATCCTGTACTGCCGGGACACCTTTGAACACCCCACCCTGCTGCAGAATGAGAGCATCTGTGACGAATTTGGTGAGTGTGGCAGCACATTGCCCCGTGAACCTTCACACTCCTCATGTCCTGAGCTCTGAATGTAAGTATGCACTTAAAACAGACACTTATAGCATGGTTCATCTCAAATTTTCAATTATGTCACTTTGGTTACCTTGACTGTTCAAATCAGCTTTTAGTGGAAAATGGACAATGTTTGCACTTTTGGGTGCAAAGCAGTTTAATTCCATTATGTCAAATCTCAGAAACTGTACTTGAATCCATTAAAATTTTAATTTGTGTGAGGACCGCCTATCCAAAATGTAGGTGGGCAAAGCAAAGCTGCTGTCCTGTTGAAACCATCATCATCTCCAAAACAACAGCATTTCACAAACTGAGAATGACGGCTCTATTTAAATGCATATTTCAGATAAAGATTTTTAAAGGGGGAGTGCACTGATTTTGTACATCAAAGTCTCTTTACAGGTATTGGGGAGTTTTACTGTATATGTGAGGAAATTATACAAGGCTTGTTCTGGCTCCAGAGGAGAGTTGAAATCTGATAAATCGCCTAAAGTGTCTTGAGTTTAAGATGGTTGGGATTTAAGTTGGAAAATGAAAAAAATCTGGGGGTGTGGAGTTAAAAGGAAGTGAGCTTAGTAGACATCTAGCCCACTTCTTATCTCAGCTTGAGGCTTGCAGCAGCTCAAGGGTGCATTTGCAACTACTGAATCTCCCATAAAATTTTCAGGGGTCCAGCTGCATTATGGGTAATATAAGCAAGATGACCAGGAAGAAAAATGCATAGAATAAAAGAGATCTCTGGTTCCACTGCATAAATTCGTAACCCCATCTTTCTGTACTGTCTGTCATGAATCAAACTGTGTTACCAGGAGTAAGATGATAAATCACCGGAGTCGTCTTTTACTGTAAATGGTCTAAGAAGTCCAAGCGTTTTCTCATTCCACAAAGGAAAAAATACATTAGGTTCACAAAATTTAAGGATGCATGGCTTTCACCAGACAAGAAGCTTTTATAATACTTGTCTTCTGGCTTGGCTTTGAATGTAGAAATGTAAAAAAAAAAAAATAAATAAAATATGGAGGGATATAGGGATTCCTATATTTCTGTATATTGTTTTCCATAGAGTAGCTGTAATTTGAGTTTGTGTAGAGATCATTAGTTCATGTGCTGAGGTCTCACTTTAGTTCTTCAGCTCTTTGTCCAGATGGATCAAATCCATCTAAACATGCTTTCAATCAATGTCGTATTAGACTAAAAGGGGAATTCAGTACATACCATTGACCATCATGCACTGTTTGTTTTCCATTCAGTTGTCCTCAGACGGGTCTTTCTGTTTACCAGTACAAGTGACCGCCATTCAAACATCCTCACCAGTCACACCTATGAAAAGCATTTGTGTGGTTCGAGTGAGGAATTTTGAAGTGCTTGAACATGTCTGTTTGCCATTCACTGTGCTTTCCCTGCCACTCATGAGCCCACACATTTTATTAACCCTGAATTGGGATAAAACAAAGGAATAATGTGATTCTTTATATTTCCTCTGCTTGGCAGTACAGTAGAGCTCAGCAGGCTTTTGTGCAGCATTGAGTTGACATTCACTGTAACAGCTCCTCTGGTCCAAAGTCATTGCTTTTCTTTTCTTGTAAATTTGCCAATGGGTAATTGCATTTTAAGAGAGCAGCAGAGGTGAGAGCAGAAGGGGAAACAGTTTTAGGCATAGGGAAAAAAAGTTATGAATAGTAACGCTAACATCCTGTGGCTGCTGTTGCTCATTCACTTGGCTCAATAATGTCATTCCTTCATGAGCCACATTTAAGCTAAACGTTTATTTTCAGAGCCTAAGGGAGTTCTACTTTTTTGACTAAGGCAACCAGATTCCTAATGTTGTTCACATGAAGGTTTACCAGGTTTGATGTAGGCTTTTATTTCTGCTTGAATAGCTGCTGGGAGACTTGGTTGTGATTTATTTCAGAACAGCAGAGCTAAGTAATTTCCATCACTCTGCCAACTGAGCTAAGGCCTTGTGGGTGTCTTACTTACAGGTAAAACCACACACATGGATGTTTGCACACGTAGAAACATACAGTACACAGCTGCTGAGTAAAGTTTTCCCGCCATTTAAAGGCTCTGTATGAATAAGCAGGTATAAATGACCTATTAAATCCACCTTTATTAGGATAAATATCAGCACTGTGGACATGTAAGAAGTAATACTCTGCAGCTGTGAAATATTAAAAAGTTCCAAGTTGATCTGGGGAACAATTTCAGGACTTTCTTCTATGCTTCCCTCAATGCTAATTTTGACCTTTTAGATACAGCCAAATCTGCTGTGGCAGCTCTAATAGCCGTCCGTCATGTCTAGGCTAATTCATGAAAGTGTGTCAGGCTACCTCAGGGGGTAGAGAAGACGAGAGGGCTCAGGGAAAAAAATTCTATTGCAGTGTTTCAGTATTATTTGATATGTGGCCATGGTGGTGAAATCCAGGTTGCTCTTGTTAGCCTGGATTCAACACTACAGTACAGATTTATTATATAATCAGCGGCATTTTTTAAAAATGTGTCCAGTGTACCATCATATTGTTTTATCAGTACTTTTGGAGCAGAGTAATGAAACACCAGCATACTCTGGCTCTTCCTGTGTTCATAAAGACTTGACTATACTTGGTGGTGTGTGGTTGTTTCTGGTACAATAATAACAGTTATCAGAGACTGTGCTAACTCCATTTTTATTCATGTTTTGTGTCCACTTCTCCAAAGGCATCACTGCTTTCGAACCAGCTTGGGAAAAACTGCTTTTATGTCAGTTACCGGATCTTTAGTCCTGTGATCCATATTCATGTTCAGCATGGCCTATCACCCGCAGCTGCTTTCCTCACGGGGAATGACACAGTTTTTGTTTATAATTATCATGCATTCTCTGCCAGCATGGATTGATTATACCCATGCTAGTTAGTGTCCCCAATTTAATTTCTTGCCAGGAGGAATATAATATTACCAAAGCGCAAATGCAGAAACAGAAATACAAGTTCTCGCTGGTACAAATGTTTCTGTGTGCACACTGACATGCTGAATAAGAAACAAGCTGTTATATAAACCTAACAATAAAGGTGGTACATGGTCTGCTGTACTGTAATAACACTGGCATTACTGAGACTCATCTGCTGTGAGAGAGAGCCAGAAATAGTTTGAGTGGGCCAGGCCTTTGCAGCGCTGAATGACAGATGACAAGTTCAAGGTTTTGTTATTAGCTGCTATGGTTCTGTTGATTATTACTCACATTCATTTGGCAGGCATACTGTGTGTGCGACAGAGCAATAACATAAACATTTGTAAGCTTAACCAAGAGGTGCTTTATATGACGTGATTAAACAAGATGTACATCATGGAGCTTCAGAGCATCTTGACAGCTGCTCCTCTGGGCATCTGTTAAACCCTTGGAATGTTTTTAAGTGTTTTTATAGACTTAAGAAAAATATTCTGACCAATATTTTTACAATTTTCTGATTTTAAAGATATGTTCTCATAGTGCTGGCCTTACTCTCCCCTCCTTATTCTTCCTCTCCTTCAGAAATCCAACACTCCTTGTGTACACATCACTTAAATCAACAGGATTTTGAAAGTTAGTGAGGCAATCATGTTTGAGGCAAAGCAGTTGAGAAGAGTTGCCCCCCTCCTCCTCTCGTGCTTTCTCATTTGTCCTATATTCCCCAGGTCTCTTTCCTTGGCCCAGAAACTATATATCTCATGCTCAGCTCAGTGTGTTTTGTTTGAAATATCTCTCACTCAGTGCCAGTTTGATTTTTATTAAAAAGAAACATTTTTGGCACGATGCTTTGGAATCCTTTTTTTGTAATCCTCCAGGGTGGGAGGAGTATAAAAAACAATTTATTGCTTCAGTATATTAACATTGTCCAGATGCGCTGACCATAAACAGAATATTACAGTCTATTTTTGTTCTGTGGCGCATGTACTCTAGTTTGATAGATCTGTGGCCGAATTACATTGTGCTTTGTGTATATTTATGGCAGTTTGAAATAGCAGCATCTGTGTTTGACAGAAACAGATTTCCTGTTTGGTCACTGAAACTGATACTTGAATATAGTGAGCTAGAGAAGAAGTGATGAAGGAAAAAATATCTGTTCTAACAGGAAACATGCTAAAATCTTGAGCTTGTACTGTGAGATAATATCTTTAAAAACATTCCCTCCTGCTAGCTTGATTGGGTTGGGTCACCAGATCACTATTCAGTATGATGTCATTGTTTCCACAACTTGAACCACTTTCTCTCTTGCTATTTAAAAATGAAATCAGATTAGATGAAATATGCATACGCCAATATTGTTCCATGACGGCCCCGTCTGTTAATGCAGTAGGCAAATTGCTTGCTGAACTCATGTTTTCCCATCTATTTTGTAGATGCATGTTAACCACCAGCCCATGAATATTTCATCATCCATATGTCGTGGTGTACAGAGGCCATAGAGAAGGAATTTAGAGGACAAAAGAACGCATGGTGAGATTTCATAAGCAAAGCAAACAAAGCAAAGCAAAGCAAATGTTCTTCTTAAAAAGGTGACAAAGTACTTCACCACAAAATAAATTAACATAATCATAATAACCACATACATCACTTACAGTCACAGCAAAGCATAATAATATTGATATAAAACAATAAAAAGAATAGGCTAAAATCAATAAATTGATGAGAAAATCCCTGACAGAAGACCCATAAATCTTTTACCTAAGGTCAAATGCTAGTGAGAAGAGATGCATGTCCAGTAATGATTTAACGGTGGCCAGATCAGGAGCAGATTCGATCTCTAATGGCAGGTTATTCCATAGTTTTGGACCAGCAATAACAAATGCGCAGTGGCCTTTGAGCTTTAGCCAAGATCTTGTGACCCCCAGTAATAACTGTTTGGAAGACCTAAGAGATCTTCATGAAAGTTAAGGATATAACAAATCAATAATTTAGGGGGGGGGTGCTAAACCTTTTAACACTTTACATGCGTTTGTCA